GGGAGTATAGATGAGCGAAATAACCAACTAGCAATTATCAAACAAATTTAATCCATTTTTTTAGGTTGTGGAAAAGCAATTGTTTAAAATGCCAATCATTCAAGAGAACTCAACAGAAAAGGCGAAACCGGAGCATCCAGTACACCTTCCATTCACACTGCACATAAATACCAAGGTTTCCGGACCGAAAGCAACTCCAGGTCGCCTTATCCACATCCTCATGTTGTTAGGTAAAAGTGAACTTCAAGACGCCATGACTAACATCCTTAAGAAATCGTATTTACGGCTAATATGATACATTGTACCTGCTTCCAGTGTCGAATAAAAGTATCTGAACTTGCTCAAATCGCCGACTTCGTCCTGTGAGACACTGATGGTGCTGTTTATTATATTAGTAATACTTGAGAAAATGCTGGATTTGTGGAAGAATTTAAACTTTTGTTATTAAAGGCTAAAAGCATAATTGTTCCAATAAATCTACCCTAAGAACCTGGTTAAGTTGCGTAAAAACAAAAGTTGGGCTCGAATTAGCTGAGCGAAAGAGTTGGGTTGGTTCAAATGAACTGAAATGGAAGCATCCAACCAACTTACAACAGAAGAGGATTTCCCAAGACGTAGATGCTGTGCTAAATTGTGGATATTAAAAATCCTATTAATCAGAGATTTGAGTAATATAATTAGTAAGTATTCAAGTACTGGGTGGGTGAAAGAGTAAATTGATATGATATTTGTATTTAAAATATGCTGAACACTGCCAAACGCTACGAGTAATAACACACGGAAAAAATCAATAGTTCATAGCAAGTGTTGAAACCACCTACTTTGACTTACCATACACAGGTTTCCTTTATCCTGGCCGCAATGCAGGTTCCATAGTAGTTACTGATAGACCATCGTTGTTGTTATTATTATTATTATTATCATTATTATAGCAAATGGAAGGCTTTATGATAGTTATCATTAGTCCTTTAGTTGACTTCGGGCTTCACAGAGGGGAGGAGGAACATTAGGGTGAAAAATCTCGAAAGGGGGATAGAATAATGATTCACGGATGTAAAAAAGACAGATAGACAAACACAAAGGCAGAGAAAAGGTAAGATGAGTACTGTGAAAGTGGTCGAATATGACACAGTCAGTCGAGTGATGGCAATTTGAAGTTAGAAGTCAACTGCAGGCTTATCGACTGCCATATGAGCATACGTTGCATAGTGTGCATCACGTGGATGTAAGTCTATAGCACTCCCTGATAGTCCATCATTGAAGCAATAGTTTCATTCACAGTTTTTTTCGTAATATATCCGAAATATTGCCTTTTCTGAAATGGAGGAAAGAATGAAGATCTTTCCAATACAAAGTTCTACTATGTAGCCAATCAGAACTTTGTAGGAACTTATGTATCACAGCCCTACGTTAGCCAAGAACTAACAAACTAATTACTGTTGTCAAAAGTTGAATGCAATGAGTTGTGTAATTCAAAACATAGGAATAAATCACAATGAGTAAGAGGCCATGAAAGATGGCTGAAATTTATTTATATCAAATGGCAGGCGTTTTGATGACTATCATTGGCCCTTTAGTTGACTTCAGGCTTCACAAAGGGGAGGGAACATCAAAGTGAAAAAAGTCGAGATCAGGCTTCACAGAGGGAAGGAACATCAAAGCGAAAAAAAAGTCGAGAGGGAGGGGGAGGAACAGAAGAGTTTCAAAGACGAAGTTAGAAAAAGTAGGAAAAAGGTTAGGTGAGTACTGTGGAGGCTTAGAAAAGGTAGGAAAAAGGTGAGGTGAGTACTGTGGAAGATACAAATGTAGAAAAAAGGTGAGGTGAGTACTATGGAAGTATACAGACTCAGAGGTAGAAAAAAGGTGAGGTGAGTACTGTGGAAGTAGACTAATATGCCATACAGTGGGTCATGGTAGCTAGAGTCAACTGAAGGTAGAAAAAAGGCGAGGTGAGTACTGTGGAAGTGGTGAAATATGACATACAGTGGGGTGATGGTAGTTTGAAGTCAGAGGTATATGACATACAGTGGGGTGATGGTAGTTTGAAGTGAGAAATAGGTAGAAAAAAGGTGAGGTTAGTACTGTGGAAGAAGTCGACAGTAGAGCAAAGGTGAGGTGAGTACTGTGGAAGGGGTCGAATTTGACATACAGTGGGGTGATGGTAGTTTGAAGTGAGAAGTCGAAGAGAAAAGGTAAGATGAGTACTGTTGAAGTGGTCGAATTTACGAATATGGCATAGAGTGGGATGATGGTAGTTTGAAGTCAAGTAGTCGAATTTGACATACAGTGGGGTGATTGTAGTTTGAAGTCATGTCAAATGCCGGTTAATAGACTTTTTTGCCGTATGAGAATGTAGGACATATAGGGGGGTCATGGTAGTTTGAAGTGAGAAGAAAACTGCCGGTTAATAGACTTTTTTGCCGTATGCGGAGAAGTCAACTACCAGTTAATAGACTTTGCCGTATGAATATACGTTGCCCAGGGTGCACCACGTGGAGGTAAGTCTATTGAAAAACGAATGCCGAGTGATAGAATTTTTGCCGTAAGAAAGTACGTTGCCCAGGGTGCACCACGTGGAGGTAAGTCTATCGTACGTTGCCCAGGATGCACCACGTGGAGGTAAGTCTATCGCGCACCCCAAGATGGCTGAAATAGAAGATGAGAGGAACGTGTAGGTGGCCCCTTACAAATGCATAATATGGTTGCGAAAATGTTCTGTATACGTCACTTTGGCACGGATGGGGTGGGGGATTATGCGAACGGAACAGTTAAAGGAAAGACAGAAACAATATTCAAAGGTTTAGATAGAGTGGCGAGAGAGGAAAGCCAATTCTATTCAAGACGTCACGTCTTAAATGAGCTTATCAAGAGAACAGACACTAAATCTAAGGCTACCATAGCAACTAATAGAATCATGGATTAAGATTTAAGCATTTCCACCACCCCCCACCCCAAGCGAAATTTTCCACACACACACCTCTCAATTCAACTCATAATTTAATACAAGTAGTAGATAATGGATGAAAAAGTCTATTAAATTCCCTTGGCGAAATCCCATTTATCTTCCAAATAAGCATGTGACCAATCGTTGCAAGTCACGTCTAATCTCGATCACACATGCACGCACACACACGCATACACTGTCCATCAGGATCAGATAAACACATTGTTCTCCTGCATATATATATATAAGCCGCATAAACAGCAGGCCAGCTTCCAATCATGACTGTTTACATGATACAGCTGTTAAGAAGCCTTCTTTTACTCGTTCTTGCATTTCAGTGCTACTCTACCACCGTTAACAACCCATCATGCGATGCTATACCCAACCCAGCCCGATTAGACTGTCATCCAGAGCCCATGGCCACCGAAGCCGAGTGTCTTCGTAGAAACTGCTGTTGGAGTTTGGTTGATAAGGACCGAACCGCCGCTTGCTACTTTCCTGCTGACTACCCAACTTATGCTCCAACTAGTAACCTAGTCAGATCATCCTGTGGATTGTCAATGAAGGCTAAACGGGCTCCTGGGGCGTATTCCGTTATGCCAGACCCTGTAGAAGAGGTACAACTTGAAATTTCCTTTGAAACAGATACTCGGGTGCGAATTCGAATAACAGATGCTAAAAATCAACGTTGGGAACCCAATTTGGAACTTGGTCCACCTGATTCAAAGTGTCCCACGAACATGAAATACGGCGTCGGAATGGATGTTAACCGATTGGGTTTCTCAGTTTCTCGCGTGAATAACGGAAGCAAGGATGTGATGCTCATTGATTCTACGGGAATAATGGCAAGCTCATTTGTTTACGCTGATCAGTACCTTCAAATGTCATTCAAAATTCATTCTATTCACGGTTATGGACTGGGAGAACGCGAAGAAAATTTCCCCCTGAATCTCCATGATTGGAAACGAATGGCTTACTGGGCCAGGGATGATGTTCCTCGACCTTCTACAAATCTCTATGGAGTTCACAACTTCTTTATGGGTTTATCCCCAGACGGTACAGCTTTTGGAATGTTTCTCTTGAATAGTAACGCCATGGAAGTTACAATAACACCCTTTCCATCACTTACGTTCCGCACCATCGGGGGAATTCTAGATTTCTTTGTTTTTGTCGGGCCCACACCCAATGAAGTCATTGCACAATACTACCAGCTTATTGGCTATCCTCCTGTACCGCCATATTGGTCCCTTGGTTTCCAACTTTGTCGATACGGCTACACAGGGGTTGAGGAAATTCGTGAAACTATTGAGCGAAATCGCAAGGCAGGAATTCCTCAAGATGTGCAGTGGTTTGATATTGATTACATGGACAAGTACATAGATTGGACTGTTTCCAAATCCCTTGCATATGATGAACTTGCTCTGTTTGTCAATAAAGAGCTTCCTGATAAATACAACCTAAAGACAGTTATTATAATCGACGTTGGAATTCCAACAGCGGCCGGAGACTACCTACCTTACCAGAAAGGTCTTATTGCTGGAGTTTTTATAAATGACAGTAGAAATGGTAAACCTTTGCATGGAAGTGTATGGCCTGGAGAGACCGTCTTCCCAGATTTTTCAAAGAATGCAACTGCAGAATGGTGGTACGAGAGTGCAAGAGATTATCACGACGTTTTAAACTTCGATGGTCTTTGGATCGACATGAATGAGCCATCAAATTTTGTGGACGGATCTGTCGACGGTTGCAATCCTTTCAGTAAGTTGGACAACCCACCGTATACTCCCCAGATATCTGGTGGAAAATTGCACTACCGAACCGTATGCCCATCCGCCTTACATGATGGAGGTGTGCCCCACTATAATATGCATAATTTGTACGCTCTAACCCAATCCAAAGCAACTAGACATGCTCTTGAGCGTATCTTTCCTGGAAAGAAGGTCTTTCTGCTTTCCAGATCAACATTTGCAACCTCCGGAAGATATACCACACACTGGACTGGAGATGTTGTATCATCTTGGCAAGAAATGGCAGCCACTATTCCACAAATAATCAACTTTAATATGTATGGAATACCCTTCGTTGGAGCAGATATTTGTGGATTTATTGACAACACCACGGAGGAACTTTGCATTCGCTGGAGCCAATTGGGAGCTTTCTATCCCTTCTCAAGAAATCATAACACCCTTGGAAGTCGATTGCAAGACCCTGCTATTTGGTCAGTAAGTGCACAAAAGGCGATAGCGAAGGCATTGGACATGAGATATCAAATTATTCCCTACTTGTACACCCTCTTGCATGAGGCAAGGGACTATGGAAAAGTGGTCATCAAGGCTCTGGCTTTTGACTATCCCGACGATTTAGCTACTCATCACAATGATAAACAATTTTTGATGGGTTCCTGCCTGAATATCGCTCCAGTGCTAGCTGAAGGACTGGATTTCACGCCGTTGTATCTCCCAAAAGGCGAATGGGTTGAATTCTCTACCCTACAGAGATATCGATCACCAGGAAAGTTCTATCCAGTGCCCGCTCCTTTGGATAAGATTCCAGTGTTCTACAAGGCTGGATGTGTCCTTCCAATGCATCCTTCTGGCGCTATGAACACCTATGAGGCAAGAAAGATGGGAGTTGGTGTAACTGTGATTTTGTTTAATGAAACAGCTTCAGGAAACCTCATTTGGGATGATGGAGAAACTGAAAATGGCGATACACTGAAAGTCAGCTTCTCCGTTTCGAAACGAAAACTGACATCAACAGCCACTTTAGAGCGAGGAGTTAGGTTTGGACCTGTTGATAGGGTCTTGCTAGCCTTTGTACAAATAATCGGTATTAAGCAAAAACCGTCTATGGTCAAAATCAACGACAAGGAAGCCAGCTTCACTTACGATAAAGAGCAAGTGGTCGTTAACAAATTCGAGCAACCTATTGATCTCAGAAATTCTTGGAGTCTAACTTGGAACTAAAATAACCCAATGTCATCTTAGTTCTTTTAATGACCAATCAAGTATCAGGTGATTTTTCCTTCAATTCTTGAAATAAACGTAATACGCAAATTACCTTGTTTCTCCCCCTACAACGGAAAGGGAAAAAATAACGCATTAATGTTCAGAAACAGTTTATTGAAATGCGAATTAGTTTATTTTTTCCTTAAAAAGATATCAACCCTTGAGGGAGCTCAACCCAGCACGCATAATCTCGTCAACAAGTAGAAGATTGCCTGCAATAACAGCACTAAAATGAGGGAAAAACGGGTTAGATGAAACATAAGATCGTTCGAAACGGGTAAATATTAGCAGCAACACTTACGCAGAGCCAATCATCTGCTTCTTGACAATGTAATTGTCCAAAATACCAGCTGCAGCCGGTTCCATAACTTCACCAGTAGCCAAATCGAGGCCAACAAGTTGTCTGGAGGTACCATTTCGTTTCTCAACATAGGAAGCTTCCTCTAACAACTTGACCATAGTCTCTTGAGAGTCGTGACCAGAGTTTGCAGCCAAAACCTTTGGAATAATTAGAATGGCATCTGCGAATGCTCTGACACCCAAACGCGCTCGTCCTTTCACTGTCTCCTCATACTTTTTGAGGGCTCTGTGAGCAACAATCTCGAAAGCACCAGCTCCCGATACAACGCATCCTATAAGCGCAAAAACGAGGTTCATCAATAATTTGTAGGGAAAAATCATTTTTACATAGTAAAGAGACATACCATCATCGAAAGTATTCTTAACAGAACGAAGGCCATCCTTAAGAGCATCCTTAATTTGTGTAATAGTATACTTATTTGGGCCTTTGATAAGAAGAGTCACAGATTGTGGATTCTTGCACTCTTCAACAAAAGTAAATTTATCTTCGCCCTAAGAAATATCATAATAGTAATAGTCTATCATACCAAAACATATTCATAGACTTGGCCAGCATATCCCAAGCAATCAGGGTTCATGTCGTTGAATGAATTGAGAGCATAGCCACCACAAGCCAACGATAGACGCTCCATATTACGACGCTTAGCACGACGCAAAGCTAAAATACCTTCACGAGCAAGAGCATCCAAAGAAATTGGGTCAATTCCTTTCTGATTGACGACAACAAACCCGGGTTTTGAATCACCCTTTCCAGCTTTAGTGTCATCACACACTTTTCGCTTTAATTCAATGATAGCTTGTACGCGTTTGTCAATAAATTCGCGTTCCGCCTTAACCAACTTTTCACGTTCTCCGGCTGTTTTATAAAAGAACCCAGAATTGACTTCACTAAAAAACCAATAGATAAATTCACGGGAACTTACGTTTTCTCGTATTCCAATGAAACATTGCAAGTTAGGATATAAGCGTTAGTAACGACTTTTGGCATATCTGGATGTCTTCCACCATGATCCATAACGATACCCTTGATAAGAGTGGTGTCCATATCGGTCTTATGTTGCATTTCCATAATCTCAACTCGGTGAAGATCAAGATCTTCGTTGGGTTGCTTGATAGCGAGAACTGCGTCAACGACAGGCTCAACAAGGTGATTAGCCAAATCTGGGTGAAGTTTAGTGCGGAGAGATGTTCCAGCAACAGCCAAAAGTACGTCTCTTTCAGGAGCATTAGGCGTTACTTCAATTTTGCACTGATTCAGAATTTCCAAACACTTCTCTCGAGCAAGATCAAATCCTTCCGTCACAAGACGTGGATGTAGACCTTCGCTAATTAAAAGCTCAGCCTGCTTAAGGAGTTCGGCGATTAAAACCACGACAGATGTAGTTCCGTCACCAGTGATATCATCTTGAGATGTGGCAACTCGTGCAATTAAACTTGCAGTAGGATGCTGTATTTGCTAAAGAGAGTGCATAAAATTGGAGTACAACAAAATACCATCTCATGAAGAAGAACATTTCCATCCTTTGTGATCTTAATATCGCCAGCACCAGACACTAACCTAGAAAAATATTAATTAGACATCTAAATTACATTTTCATCGTTCCTTTGGGACCAAGATTTGTCCTAAGTACCTCGAATAATCCACGAGCAGCTGTGGTGTTAATTCGGAAAGCATTTTGTGCTTTTGCGAACTCAGCTTTAGGGTTTAGCAAAGATAACGAGGCCATGACTTAAGGAAGAAATTAAACAACGCGCTGTTGGCAAGGCTAATTTTATCAAAAACTTTAACCTAGCGCTATGTGTGCTGGTTGGTCAATTTTGTAAATTATGCTAAAATGGGTGCAATTCATTGGTCGGGAGGCTTTTCGTGCCTATAGATGCCATCAGTAAAAGCAGGCTCATGAATAAGCATTAATTAAAAATTATATAGTTAGCAATTGTTAATGAAAAAGAAAAAGCGGAATAATAAAATGGATTTTCCGTCGATCAATTTTTACTAAAAGTAATATGGAAGTTAAGCCTGACTCTAACGTGAATATCCACTGATAAAGCGGAAATAGGTTTCTATGTATATATGTACAGTTGAAAATGCAGTTATGCACTAATTCCTTCCTTGTCTTTAGTTCGATTATGCAATCGGAACTGATAAAACAGGAGTCTAATGTAGATATTGCTTTATTGGTTATGGTATTTTTCTGATTCCAAGTTTCTTGACAGTAAATACTTAGCCTCACCCAATAATTCGTTTTTTTAATGTTCTACTTGCACATTTGGAATGTGCAATGCACCATAGCATGTTATATTTGGGATCTTCTGATATCTTCTCACAGCAGTATTGCATAAACATTTTATAACAATTAATGGTCAGCAATAACCACTTTTACAAAATCTCGTAGCGAAGTTTTTACAAAAGACCTTTGCATTATTCTCAAAGAAACCAATATGGATTGAATAAATGTAACGCTTTCGTGCCATAAATTTAGACACTGAAGGTATTCTAGGTTAGACCTACTACCTATTATTGGGCAAAGCATGTGAATTAAACCATAATTAGAATTCAAGGACGAGCGTGTGAAAGATTAAGGAGTGAGGAGATACGAGGAAAGTATAGAGGTTCTCTTTAAAATGCATATTTTGGAAACGAAGACGTTTTGCATGAAGCACTTAGCCAAAAATTGGAGTAAGGCCATGAGAACAGGTGCACCTTTAAATGGACGAATCGATTACCTCGAGTAATACAACCATTCATGCGAAAAATCGAAGCATTCTCACAAAAATGCTGTTAGAGTAACCTTATAAAAGCCTGGGTGGACAACCCAAAAGAGGAATGTGACAACATTTGGTTGTATAGATAAAATAGAATCCCAGTGGCACACATACCACAGAGGTCCTTTAATGATTGACACCTGAGCAATCGATTAAATTAAGGTGCACCGGCTCAAAGTGCATTAAGGGCGTCGTCGCAACTCCATCTACCTACTTCCTCAACCCCGATCACAACTGTTTTCTTAAAAGAATATTCCCTTCGATTGCAACTCGACTACAGATAAAGTATCAAATTCCGTAGCCTGCTACAGTAACAAAGATTGGTAGTAAAAATAAGGTACAGTCTTGTGGAAAACGGGACACTTTAGGTGTCAAGTCCTCTCAGAACGCTTTATAGCCAGATGCCAAAAAAGAGGAGACGAGATTCAGGTTAGTAAAATCAATGAGTACCCTGTTACAGTGCTCTCAAAATTTTCCCCATCACAAAACAGAAATCAGCCGAAACGAATACGTTTACAAATGCCCATTGATTAAAAAGAACAATGTAGAACAAAAAATGAAATCATTATATTAAGCTTAAATACATAAAATTAATCAATTGCATGTATAGAAATTACGATGATATGTCGGGGAAAGCACCAGGAAGAATATATTTCGTGTGTCGTCCTTTAGCGATGAGTTTCCCAGATGGCTCGTCGTGAAGACTCACTTCACAGAAAGCCAACGTCCTGCCACTTCTCAAGACACGAGACTCCACTTGAACCCACGATCCCACCGGGGCAGCACTCATGAAGCTACGTCAAGAAGACAAGCAAGAAATGTAAACACACACACAGTGATAACATCTCTATTTTCTGCCAAAATCTCCGCCTTTTTCATAGCCTGTGGTAGCCCTGTCCGCGCAGTTAGAAATGACAATAATACATATCAAGATTTCATTAAGCTGCATATTATATTGGATATTCGAATAGTTAGTACCAACTCTATTTTACATTGTGGGGGTGTGCGATAGACTTACCTCCACGTGGTGCACCCTTGGAGATAAGAACTAGTGCCCCACATTATTCTAGTGACCTTTTGTGACCCCTTGTGACCCCAATTTCTGCATTTGCCTTCATTGGTAACTTCGAGAAGAATTAATGCTTTCAGCATTAAAAGAAAACAGAAAAACAGTGAAAAATGGCTGTAAATCTTCCACAGTCGGAGATGTGCATTAACATTGAAATCTCCTTAAACAAACGCCCATTATTGTCATAAGTTCAAGGCTCCATCAATTCAGTAAACGAATGCAGATAGCATCGATTCCATTGTTTGCAATACCGTTCAAGTTATAAAATTCCTGAAAGTAACATGGAATTTTCAACAGCATCCAATACTTGCACTGCTATGAAAGTGATACTTATGAAATCCAAATGAATGCACTTCCACGTGGTGCACCCTGGGCAACGCATACTCATGTGGCAAAAAAGTCTATTAACCGGCAGTTGACTTCTGACTCCAAACTACAATCACCCCACTGTATGTCATATTCGACTACTTCCACAGTACCCACCTCACCTTTTTTCTACCTTAGTGTCTGTCTGTCTCTTTTACATCTTTGAGACAATCTTCTTTTCCACCCACCCCCCACCCCGTCTCGACTTTTTTCACTCTGATGTTCCTTCCCCTCATTGAAGCCTGAAGTCCACTAAAGGGCTAATGATAACTATCAAAACACCTGCCAATTGATATAAATAAATAAATTTTACATTGTGGTGATGCAGAACTAGTATTTTTCTAAAACAGATCTTAACAATGGGCTCATGATAGCTGACGGTGATTGATACCACCTGATCACTGTTATCTGATGTCAAAATATAATACTTGCCAATTCTTATAATACACGTCTTTCCAAATCTCGTCATAAGAAATAATACGCGTATCAAAACATTTAACTCCACAAACAGTTCTCGTGATCTCCTAGTTAAAAGTCTTTTCGATACATGTGAAACGATATGAAGTGGTGGAAATAGCTGTAAATGCAATTTTTGCATTAGAAAAAAACTTATATCCACCACTATTGGCGGTCTATAAAGAGGTTTATAGAACCAGGAAAATAGACTAATACCTCTATGACTTCGACCCAGGCGAAACTCCAAACGAAGTTATCAACACAAAAAAATCGAATATCTAAGAAATAATCACGGTTGATCTTGCTTAAGCAGATTTACACATGACATACAAGAGGCGTAAGCCCGAAATTTCTCAGAATTCTCGATTCTTAAGTATATTCGACCCCCAAAAGTAACGAATGAATCCATAACCAACGTGAAAGCAAATGACGAAAATTAGAGTACAATATATATGAAATCAAGAGCAAGTTAGGTGAGAATAGATGAGTTATTCAACTTCGAATTAGTCAAGCATCAACAAAAGATCAGCTAATAAATAATAAATACTAACTGTACCCTGACTTGGTCAAATGAAATAAAACAATTATTCTATTGAACTTACGATGTCGCAAGTTCGACACTAACTGTTCTACTGACACCTTGACGAAGAAGATCAACGGTAGAAATGAAATCTATCAAACTGGATGTATAGCCACCATGGAGAGTATTTAGAGAGTTTGCTTCTTTCTCAGTAACCTGAAAGCGACATCGCAAAGAATTTTCGTTTGCAGATACAACCTCAATTGGAGCGAAAACAGAGTTGAAATTGCCCGAAGAAGCAAGAGATCGTATTAACTTGGAAACATTCGAAAGGGCTGACATAGATCTAAGAACAAATAAATGAGACCATTCAATAAATTATTACATGGGGAATGAAAAATGCAAATATTTGACACTTAATGAAATCACGAATGTGAACACTTAAAAACTATATATGTTCAATTTATAAAAAGGTGTAACACAATTTGCATTAAAAATATTGATAATTTATAATAAAACTAAATAATATTTAATTCTTATTAGTTGCAAAATACGAGAAAGAGTTATTACACGCTTGTGTAAATTTATTTCAAAATATCAATAAAAAGATAAATATGATTTTATTTTATTTAATGAAAATTTTGTTGATTAAATGTATATATCTGCCGACGAATTTTGTTTTTACCTTCCAATTATATCACTTACAACCTAAAGCGCTTCGTATAAGTAATTACTTGTAGCAGTTATTCGGTTCGAGGTGTTATGGGATTTTGCCTATAAAATCTAAAAATGAACATTCCTGGTGGAAATCCATGGGGTCCACGACAAAGTGGAAACCCTTTCCTTGTAGGTACTCGACCGGTGATCGCCGATCTTGCCATGGCGGCTTTGAAAGAACGTGATCAAAAGAGGCGTCGAAGGATATGTTCTCAATTCAATCCAAATAGATCCTTCTTCCTTCTTTCCAAGCGAAACCCTATTCGACGTTATTGCTTCATGATCGTTGATGCTAAGTATCCTTTTCGTTATTTGTGTTTATATTATAGTTAAGGAATTAAATTAAAATAAACCTTCCTTTTTGCAAATTCCATTAATTTTTTAATTAAAGCATCTCTCCTTAATGTTTGTTCACAAGCATTTTTTCTTAGTGTACGTTTTAAACGTGTTTAGTGCTTTGATTTACGTCTATTCGAATTATGGTTTTTTGCTATTTGAATTTTGCTCAATGGTTATAAATTTCAGCTTAAATTTTTTGTGCTAATAGATCGCTCTTTATTGTCATCCTAGTTTCTTAACCATTAAAAAATATATTGACTTTTCAATCATGTCTTTTTAAATGAATTTTTAGCTTTAACCTACCAGTCTATTTATGCACGTCATAATTGCTGCAAAAATATTTCAAAGTTTTTCTTAATAACACCGGTCTAAATGTTACTTGATGGACATATTTTGCGTTGCGCATTATCTAATTTTGACTTCCCGTCGCTTTCATTTGATAGACACACGTCCATTCCGAAGTAACATCCGCACGCGTTCAACTTCATTCGATCGATGATAGTGAACCTAGTCGCGCACAGTCCTTAACACGCACAACTACTACCGCACTTTAGCGCGCACGCAAAATTTCCCAGCACGTACACTGGTATTCTGGCATAGCACTAGAAGAGGGGTCCATGATGATCTATCCCCAACCCTGTCGCCCTACCAATATAAAATATTTAACTTTTCCCTGAATCACTCACCTATATAATGTGAATTTAGTTTACGCATTTTAAGCCAAGGGGTGGTTTTTTTAATTATATATCACTTTGTTCGCCTAAGTTTTTTTTGTGGTAAATCATTAAGTCTCAATTTACTGCCATTATTCACTCAATAAATACCTATTTGCTAGCAAACAAATGAGCCCAACACTAACACTTATCGTCTTTCAATCAAAGCAGAATCAACTTTTGGTAGTCTTCTTCAGAAACAATATTCGATAGTAGAATGAAAATGGAGCATTATCTATCATAGCGCAATAATTTTTACTTTTCAGATTATAACTATACAGCTCGTTTCCAGTATCCATTGTGAGTTAAGAGATCGCTTTGACTAAAAAGCTCAAATTACGCCTCTTTAATAGGTGGCATTGGTTCTTCCGCTTAACTCTGAGGGCGGGCGGGGGGGGGGGGGGGGGGGGGGGTCACATAAGGACAACGAACCGGTGACCTGTGACCTAACTAACGTGCTAGTGAATAGTGACTTTTCTGATACAATAACATTATTTCAAAAGTACATACTTCGACCGATTGACCTGAGGTTTGATTTTCTTGACCTTAGTTTGCCGGTCTGTATCTTGTTTTCCCCTCATGTTAGGCCGCATTTCTTGGGCCTGAAAAAATTAGGGCCATTTTAAATTGCGCTGGTTTTGAATTTATTTTGGCATATTTTTTGCAAAGTATCTTAATTTATTAATTCACCAATCATATTTTTCAGTTGACCTTGATTCTCAGGTTTTATTATTTACAGGTCGTCATCTCAATATTCCTCGAAAATTGATATCTTTGTTACCGGTTGAAATTCAAAATCAAATTTAGTGTGAATAAACGTTCGTTAAATATTTCAAAATGAATATATAATGTGGTTTTTTTGGATCGATTTCCAAAATGTCATCTCAGATGGATTTCGGCCTACATTAAATAACATTTTCATATCCAGCACTACAATAAATATTGTAAATTAAAACAAATAATTATTTTCACTCACTTTCTCCGCCCTCTTACATTACGTTCATGCTTTTGGAATGCTTGGAAATGGTTGGACAACCACTTTAACAACCGACGAACGCTCTGCATATTTTTTGGCATCAATTTGCGCAGTAGTCGTTTAACGCCCTTAGGGTCCTCTTTCAAAATAAGCTCCATTGGTACTAGACTCGTAACAAAAGCGGCGCTACTATTGCTGTTTAAAACAGGTTCAATACATGTCTATAGCCGCCTTCGCCTGATACACCACCAAAACTCATCACGTCGGTGGCATCATCCTTCTGTGAGGCACGCGTGAATTCTGTTGGGAGCATTTTTCAAAAAAACGAAACTTCGAGTGTTGTAGGTTTATGTGAGTATTGTGCAAATAGAATCCGAAGGCCTAAAGAGGTAAAACTCTTTGTTGTCTAAGCTCTACTCTCAGCATCATTTCGGTCATTGACCTTCTGCTGGCCAATTTTAGTGTATTCCTCCAATGACAAATCGTTAATTCTTGCTGTGGACAGTAATGTAAAGCATGTACGCAATTTTTCCATTAAACGAAATGCGTCGTAACTATTGCAGTGGGAGGTTCTGATGCGGCTTAAAATCTCCTTTTTCCCTATTTGTAGTAATAGGAATATATTTAGACAATCATTGCTCAAATATGCCACAGTGTTTTCCTTAACTAACTAACTTTCACCAACAGACCGTTTGAATTCTTCATTCTGGCAACAATTTTGGCCAATTGCATTGCCCTGGCAATTAATCATCCCTATCCAATGGGAGATTCCAACGAAACAAACATTGCTCTGGTACGTCACCTCCCCCACCCCCCCCCTTTAAACCCCCATTCCTCTTCCCACTCCCCACACACACAGAAATTCTTTCCATTCATCTTTTTAGGAGAAAACCGAACTCGTCTTTCTCATTATCTTTACGATTGAAGCTGTGCTCAAAATTATCGCCTATGGATTTGTTCTCCATCCTGACGCCTACTTACGAAATTTCTGGAATGTTCTGGATTTCTCAATCGTTGTTATAGGGTGCGTAAATGACCACTTCTTTTGGCATCCAATTCACTTGAGCACAAATCTCATTGGTTTGTGCTCAAATTCAATTTTACAAAAGAAAGCCTACATTGGTCTTGACTAGGGAAATTCCCGATGGTTTTTGGAATTACTTTGGGGAAGGGGAGGGGTGGGAAAGACATTCGCATTTCTTCAATAAATTATAGTGGATGGGAATAATTAATTGTCGTAAGTATCTGAGGTTTAGAAAGCAGAAATGCGTTGTTGTATCTCCAGTTTCAGGTCAAAAAAATACGATGCAAGTCTCATTGTGGTCAAGCATGTACCACTATATGAATATAAGGTGGCTAGAAGCGGGAATATAATGACAAAGTTTGCAAAGTCCTTGAAAAGACCAACCCAGCATTAGTTAAAAGATGATTTAAATACAAAACTAACTTTCACAATCGGTGAAATTAAATGTGAGCCGCAGAGTTGGCGAATTTATGCGAAGTCTCGTAGAGAGGGGTTTGAATGCCCTGTTTCTGGATGTTTCACGCATTGAAACAGACAGAGGAAATGAATTATCACCTATTAGCCAATAGACAGCAGGTGTCAATAACTTGCTGGTGATCTCGACTGAAAAGACGTCTTTGTCAATAATATTCCACAACAAGGAGGTGTGGGGTGTGTGGATAGAAGTCTGCCCACCACATGTAGACATCGAAGTCTCGTGAATAAATGTCGATAGTTAAACCCCTAAGTGCTCATTTATTAAGTGGGAGGGCATTTCTCGGTCATCTTCAAATTGCTCAAATAACATGACGACCTCTGTAGTTGTTTCTTCTCTGTGAGCCCATATTGCTTTACGCATTGCATTGCTGTTTAGATCAGTCCATTTAATAGCAAGATAAATTTCACACAGCTCAGGTGAAATTTCACTTATTCACTTTCTTGTTTTCAATGATGTATTGCGCATTTGCTCATTAGCAGGCTAACAACAATTTGCCTTTACAAGTCATAATCGTCGTCTCGATATGACTTCTAGTTTTTTTTAAGAATTGTGTATAACATACCACGTGAACTCTTCAAAGTTAAATTTCAAATACAACTTGCTGCATTTATTGCTCCGAATTTTTATTTCATTTCCTTTTGACATCAGGAGAGAGGTAATGTCCCTTTGCACCCATATTCATGAATTTGTGTGGAAAAAATACGCAGCCATTCGCCTTGGCTTCTACAACTTGGGACATTACGCCCTCCACCCCCCCCCCCCCCCCCCCCCCCCCCCACCTTCACAAACCATTCAATTTACCGCATTGTACTTTTGTATTAATTTAATTTCAGTTTGGGGTCCAAATGCCTGGAGAACACGAAATTAGACGTGAAGTCTCTTCGAGCTTTCCGTGTGTTGCGACCGCTCCGTTTGGTATCCGGCCTTCCCAGTAAGCCCCTGTCCCACCCCATCCCCTCCAGGATTCCCATTCCACTTCCTCCTATCTTGCATCTCTGAGGCAATTTCTTCCATTGCGTTTTAGGCCTACAAGTTGTCCTCAACTCCATTGTGACCGCCATGGTTCCGCTGTTCCACATCTTCCTTCTTGTCATTTTCCTCATTATTGTGTACGCCATCATCGGTTTGGAATTATTCCAAAGTAAACTCCATGCCACTTGCTACCGCGTCGTCGTCAACACGACTTGTAAGTCTTTTCTTCTATCTAGTCCTGGATAAAACTTCCATAGACCATGGGGGAGGTCTTAGTAATGTCTATTTATTTATTTATTTATATATTTATATCAAATGGCAGGCGTCTTGATGATTATCATTAGCCCTTAAGTTGACTTCAGGCTTCACAGAGGGGAAGAAGCATCGAATTGAAAAAGTCAACAGGGGGGGGGACAGAAGAGTGCTTCAAAGATGTAAGAGACAAACACAAAGTAGAACAAAGGTGAGGTGAGTACTGTGGTAGTGGTCGAATATGGCATACAGTAGGGCCATGGTAGTTTGAAGTGAGAAGTCAACTGCCCATTGATAGACTTTTTTGCCGTATGAGTATACGTTGCCCAAGGTGCACCACGTGGAGATAAGTCTATCGCACACCCCGTCTTAATAATGTCTAACACGGGTAGAGCAACAAATAATTTTAGAATCACTTTTTATTTCTATTTAACTGCATTTTATTCGAAATTGTACCTACTACTAATAATATTAATTTACTCTAATTCAGGTAATCCATTTCAAATTAGTTTTTTTTTCTATGGAACCCTGATATATTCCCTAATATTAGCGATTTAAAGAATAGCTTCGCTGGTGAGTGCCTTTAATCGGGTCTGTGCTAAAGGCAGCTTATTTTGAATTTCAACTTTGAAGATGCTGACATCTATAATTAATCAAAACTCCCACCCCCCTCCCCCCCTCCCCTCCCTCGGTTGGGTGGGCAACAAATTTTGAGCTAGGCGCCTGTTAATTCCAACTTCTGTTGGTGATTAGTTGCTTTCCGATTTTAACTGCTAGGACTTACAAGTAACTGGAGGTGAGGCGGCATTTTAAACTTTTGGCCTCCCCCCCCCCCACCACCACCACCACCCCCTTTTACTTGATTTGACCGCGTCATTTGGCTTGAGTAAAATTTTTTAACTTTCAGCTGGACTGAAGAGCATATCCGAAATCTGCCCAAACTGCACTTATACGGTTCTTAACAAAGTTTGTGCGTACAATTTTTAACCCCCCCCCCCTAACTATGCATGAATGAGAAGTAAACTAATTGATGTCACTAACCAAGCAACTAACCAATCACCCACAAGTTGATATCTGCATGCTGATTAATGGTGTCTCATGCCCCTTCCACGACTTCTCCACTGGTATATGTGGAGGACAGTTATTAACCGAAAAATTTGCTATTTATATTTATATGCATGCTTATGGTGAAATTGGAAGGAATATCGTCAGCACATGCCATATGCATGTATAGTCCTAATTCAAAGTGCATGTGATTAGAGGGCTCGAGTTTATTTAAGTAGTATCGGGGGTTTGCACGCACTAATGGGCCGTCTATTTTTTTCCCGCGTAGACACCATAATGGACGATCCCCGACCCTGTTCGAATAGCACAGGGAACATGGCTTTCAACTGTGCCAGTGTTGGACCTGACTACGTGTGTCGTGATTTGCCCCCGGAGTTAGGCGAGAGGTATCCTGGTCCCGAGGATGGCTTGATCAATTTTGACAACTTCCTTTATGCCATGTTGACGGTCTTTACTTGTGTCACTATGGAGGGGTGGACCAATGTGGCCTATTATGTAGGTGCTGGTTTAGCTTAAACTCAAATTGGACGAATGAATATCCTCATTGAGTACTCTCGATCGGAGGAAGGGAGGGAGAGGGGGGGGGGGTATTTTGTCAAATGAGCCCTTCAGGGATTGAAGATTTTTTGTCTAAATCGTGGAAGCGTTTAGTAACAGTGAGACCATCGACAGATGTATTTGAGGAAGTCGATATCTTTATCGATTGTTAAGGCTAATTAGGTGTGGTCGGCGTTATACAGAAACTCAACTGATGCTTTTGTGGTCGGGTTGGTTGTTAATTCGTAGATAATTTGAGAGAAAATTAGTCAATTTGACGGATTACATTAGATCCTCAGCAGTGTTCGCACGTATTAGCGATCGAATGGACCAATTAGTTTTGCAGGGGAACAAGAATTGACTAATGATTGATTGGATATCAGAAATTCATACTCGTACATCTTCATTTTCAAGCATTATTGATGTGCAGATATTTGTAGGGGATTCTACTGAGCTTTATTTTAACAACCCCTCCTCCCCCCACTCCCGATTGGATCAATGATTCACCAAGCATTTCAAACGTATCCTTTGATATCCTTAGGATGAAATTCACCCCCCCAAAGGGTAGTGTATGCATCAATTTTTTTCTAGGGCTTTGTACAAATTACTTTGCTTCTAATTATTATATCTGTCTATGCTATTCAAGAAGTTTACCATTTCTGCTCTTAAATGCAGCCATACTTATACAAGAAACACGCCCCCCCCATCCTTGGGTTTATTATATCAAATTTTGAAATTTAATGATAATTTTGCTGATTCGATGACTTAGAGAGTTATACTTAGCTTATAGCGCCTTTATAATCACCATAACATCACAACATGACAGACTGCATAGCGTTATCTTAAGAGGTGATAAGTGCAGCATAGTATAGAGTTCATGAGGGGAAACGGCAAGCATGGTGGAAGGTCGGAGAGTCAATACTTTCTCCCCCTCTCTCTCTCTCACTCTCCCTCTTATCGTGTTGGCCAATCCAGGTGGTCTCCTCGTCAGACCTCAATCCCATTGACATTCTGATGCACTCTGCCAATGATTTTTCCTCGTAGATTCTGTGTAATGCTTATTGTCCACACTACAACAATCTTGGTGCATTTGCTTCTCGTCATTGCCTAGGCGAATTTAGCTGATATTGGCCGAGTTGCTTTTTTTCATTTTGACGTTTCCACATTCCAGATAACGGCAGCCGAGGGCTCGGGTTGGCCATGGGCCTACTTCGTTAGTCTCATTCTTCTCGGCTCCTTCTTCGTTATGAACCTCGTTCTTGGTGTTCTAAGTGGGTACGTCCTTCATCCCCCCCCCCTCCCACCTCCACCTCCACCCTCTTATATCCCCTCTTATAAGCTCTCTTATTGAAATCCGTTCCAATTTGCAGAGAGTTCACCAAGGAGAAGGACAAAACGGATCGGAAAGAGATGTTCCGTAAGGAGAGGCAACAGAAGAGAGAGCAACAGGACTATGAGAATTACAAGGAGTGGATAGAAATCGCTGGTAAGCGCACCATTTTTATCTCATTTATATGGCAGTTAATTAGTTAGTTTCCAGAAGCTTGATCATTATTCGAATTTTTTTTAGAGGATCTCTCGGAGTCAGAGGCTGAACCAAAAACCAACAAAGAAATAGAAGCCGGTAAGTTACGAGAAACCCTGCCGCTTCCAATCCCTTTAATTAACTCTTTGACCTTTACATTAACCTTGTACATCATCAGTAAATATGTGTTTTTATGGGAACATCATGCACAAATTATTGCAGAAGCATTACGCCAATTTATTCATTAAATTTATTATTTAGAGGATGTTATGAACACTCTTTGTAAGTCCTTTCTTGTCGGTTTGATCCAATAGCACCCCTCCCACCTCCCCAATTCGCTAAACCCCCCCCCACATTCCCATACCCATAAAAATATTCGCAAAAATTTCA